GCCAAAAGGCGATGACAATCTTAGGGATTCGCCCTCCAAAAATAAGGGAATCCCTAAGAGTGGCATCGTGATGAGGAGGTGCCCCGCATAGGGATAGGGATATGTTCCAGGCTGGTAACCTTTCGCCGCTCGGGCCTCTCGTGGGGTTGGGGCGCTAACATCGAAGAGAAGAACCGCTGCGCGCGCAGGGCCCCGCGGATTCATTGGATCGGCCGTCGGCCCCCCGCCCCGGCGCCTCCGGCGCCCCGCGAGGCCTCCGGCAGTTTCTTCCGCGAGGCCTCCTCCTCCTCCTCGTCCTCGTCCTCCTCCTCCTCCTCCTCCTCCTCCTCCTCCTCCTCCTCCTCCTCCTCCTCCTCCTCCTCCTCCCTCCTCCCCCCCCTCCTCCTCCTCCTCCTCCTCCTCCTCCTCCTCCTCCTCTCCTCCCCTCCCCCTCCTCCTCCTCCTCCTCCGCCGCTCGCCCGGGCAATACTTGTCACTGGTGGCCCCCTTGCGATTCCGTCTCCCTTTCAGTGGGGAGCAGGATTTGTCCGCTCCCGCGGCTGTCGACCACACTAGCTCTGTCCGCTTCCATCTCCTGCTCTTCCAAACAAATCCTCATTCAGGCAAGGTTGCCATGCCGTTTCTCTTCCGGAGTCGTTTTCCGACGCTCCCGAGGCCCGGTAAGGGCCCCCAGGGGCCGAGCATAGCCAAACACTTCCCGTCGTGATTTTTCATGGCTCGCAGGGGCCTGGGGCCATGGCTCGATCCGATCCTCTCTTCTTCGAGCGCCCAGCCGTAAGTCGGGCCTGTCCCTCTACAGGGGGAATATTCAAACACAGTCAAGAAATACCCTGGGGACGAATGTTTTAAGCATGTTTGGGCAATGTTTGAGTCTTTGGGGGGTAGTTGGATTTTGTCGCCCAAAATCCCCCTGTAGGGGGACAGGCCCGACCTAAGACCAGCCGGCAGCCACCCGCGAAGAGGAGGGGCCGACGGGGCTCTACCTGCCCCTCGCGGCGCTGCCCCGCGAGCGCCCTGCGGGCGAGCGCGCCAACTGCGCGCTGGCGCCCGTCGGCCCCCCGGGCGAGGGTGCGCTGGCCGTCTTCGCGACAGGCGCGGCCGCCGCCCCCCTGCGCGGCGTCAGAGGGGCCAACGCTGTGGAGGACGATCGATGGAGAGGAAGCATGTTGCCAAATCATTTCCAGACGTCTAAGCCATGTTTTAAACATGTTTAAAGCATGTTTTAAGCATCTAAGCAACATGTTTAAAGCATGTATAGAACATTTTCCGGCATTTTAAACACATCTTAAATTCAGTGATAGGACTGTTAGGGTGTCCATTGTCGTGGCATCCGCAAGGCCAACGCGGGGGTCGTCACGACACGAGCCTGCCGCAGCCTTCCGTGGCCCCCGAGGCAGGGGCCCACGCCGGGGTGGTGCACCCTGTACCCATACCACTGCCTTTGCATCGTTTTTTCGCCTTTTTGTGCCTCCTGGGAGGAGGCCCTCGTTTCCCCCGCTGGATTCGCCTCGAATTTCCTGGTCAGAAAGCACCCTGAGTGAGGTCTGGGGGGCAGCGGTATCGCACTGCCTTTGCCTCGTTTTCGCCTTCTTGGGCCTCCTGGGAGGCCCTCGTGTCCACCGCTGGATTCGCCTCGAACTTCTGGTCAGAACGCACCCCGAGTGAGGTCTTGGGGGGTAGCGGTGTCGGCACCGCTGGGTTTCCCCAGGTGTGGACGCCGCCGCCGTCGCCCCACAGGCTCCGGAGGTGGGTCAGCACGGACGGCTTTCCTGCATGGCGGTTTTGGGGCCTCCTGCTGGGCGAGCGCATGCACTGAAGGCCACGTGCTGAAACTCGGCCCCACGTGCTCCCAGCCTTCAGCTGGGGGCAAGAGGGTCCTCGCGGGGTTTCACCGAGGCCGAGTCAAGCATCGCGACTAGTGGGTCCCCGTCTGAGATACGGGTCTTTGACCCCCCTTAGTCCTGTAATCTCACATGTGATTTGATCGTGAGCGGCTTATGAACTCTGAGAGGACAGTCGCGTGACCTACTTGTTTGCAATGTGCGTTTTCAAGAGGAGGCCGACGATGATGATGATGAGAAGGAGGCATCGGAACAGGATAATGACGATGCGGAGGATGAGGAGCAGGAGGACATGCAGGAAAGGAATATTAGAGCGATGTGGAGGAGATGGAGAAGGGGGATGATGACATTGACGTCGACAATGGCGATGAGGGTGATGATGATGCTGATGTTGATGAGGATGTTGGTGATGACGATGATGCCGGTCATGGTGAGCATGGCGGTGATGCTGGTGATGATGGCGATGACGATGATGGCGATAATGATGGCGATGTTGTGGTTGTTGATGATGATGATGATGATGATGATGATGATGATGATGCTGATGCTGATGCTGATGATGATGATGATGATGATGATGATGATGATGATGATGATGATTGATGATGATGATGATGATGATGATGATGATGATGATGATGATGATTGATGATGATGATGATGATGATGATGATGATGATGCTGATGATGATGATGATGATGATGATGATGATGATGATGATGAGTGATGATGATGATGATGATGATGATGCTGGAGGTGAAGACGAGGAAGACGAGGTGGAGGAGGAGGAGGAAATCACTGATGATGACAGGGACGGAGAGGAGGAGGAGGAGGAGGAGGAGGATCGAGGAGGAGGAGGAGGAGGAGGGAGGGAGAGGAGGAGGACGAGGAGGAAGAGAGGAGGAGGGAGGAGGAGGAGGAGGCGGAGGAGGAGGAAGAGGAGTAAGGACGACACCATCCTCGCAATGCTGTCAAGAAAAGACAGTGGGTCAGCAATAGTCAGCATACTGAGCATTAGAAGATGCGTGATACATGCACTACGAACAATGAGGGTAGCCATAAGATCACGAGCACTGAGAAGATGAATGGTATACTTACCACTACTACGACGAACACGAAAGACAACACCATGCATAAACTGAGGAGGAGGAGGCGGAGGAGGAGGAGGAAGCGGAGGAGGAGGAGGAGGAGGAGGAGGAGGATGAGGAGGAGGAGGAGGAGGAGGAGCATGAAGAGGATATGCAAAGGTAGTGTTAAAACAACGCGCTTCGGGCGTGGATTCGAATCACCAGCAGCGGCGGCTACGACTGACGAGGCGCTGTTCCCCTGCCAGGAGCGGCACAGGTCCACAGGCTGGGTGGCCTAAACGGCTACGAACTTCGAGCCCCAGGACGCGATGGCGGCGGCGACGGCGACGCGCCGTCGTCGTTGCGTCGTCGTCGTCGTGTCGTGTCGTCGTCTTCGTCGTCGTCGGCCGTCGTCGTCGTCGTCGTCGTCGTCGTCGTCGTCGTCGTCGTCGTCGTCGTCGTGGTCGTCGTCGTAAGCCTTCTTCGTCGTCGTCGTCGCCGTCGTCCGCAGCCGTCGTCGTCTTCGTCGTCGTCGGCCGTCGTCGTCGTCGTCGTCGCCGTCGTCGTTGTCGTCGTCTTAAGCCTTCGTCGTCGTCGTCGTGCTCGTCGTCTTGAGCCTTCGTCGTCGTCGCCTTCGTCGTCGTAAGCCTTCGTCGTCGTCACCGTCGTCGTCGTCCGCGGTCGTCCTCGTCGCGTGGGGCCGCACCCCACCGCCGCGGTGGCCGGCGGGGCCTCGCCGGCCGCCGCGCCACTTCGCCGTGGGCGGAGCCTGGGCCCGCCGCCTCCCGCGCGCGCGGGCCGCACCGCCGCCGTTGGCCAGAGAAGCCCGCCGCCCCCCCCCCGCCAACCAGCCTCGGGGATCGAGGCTCGAGGCTCGAGGCTCGAGGCTCGAGGCTCGAGGATCGTGGCTCGAGGATCGAGGCTCGAGGCTCGAGGATCGAGGCTCGAGGATCGAGGCTCGATGATCGAAGGTCGAGGCTCGAGGCTCGAGGATCGAGGCTCGAGGATCGAGGCTCGAGGCTCGAGGATCCGAGGCTCGAGGCTCGAGGCTCGAGGATCGAGGCTGCCGTCCCCGCAACGACGGCGCCGCCGGCCCCCCCGACCCGCCTCCGCCCCGCCCCGTGGACAGGCTCCGCCGCCACCCCCTCCGTACAGCCAAGACGCTGAAACAAGGACCGCTGTGGGCCCGCTGTTCTCGAGGTCATTCGGCTGTTGGTTCGTCTGGAGACGTCTCGGGGTCTGCGGTGGCCCAGAGTTGGTTCTGGCCAGCAGGAAAGGCGGGCAGGTGCGAGGTTCTTGGTTCGGAGAGGTGTTCTTGCTTTCCTCTGCCCGAGGGGCCATTTTCGGGCCCTGGGACCGTGAACAACTACACCAGATGGACCCTGGGAGGTGTAAGGGATCCGATGTTCACCGGATTGGGCCTCATCCCCCCGCGGCCCCCTCCATAACGAGCCTTGAGCCCATCCCTATCCCTCATATTGACAAGCCAGAAGGCGATGACAATCTTATGGATGCGCCCTCAGCAACTCAACTGAGGAGATTCTTAAGGTCGGTATCGAGATGATGCAATGCCAGTCATAGGGATAGGAATAGGTTTCAGACTGGTACTCCCTCCCTCCCTCCCTCCCTCCCTCCTCGCATTTCCACCTCCGCTCCTCCCCAGAGATACGAAGCTCCGAAGGAGTCGGAGCGGCCCGCTTTTAGCCTCTGGGCATTCCACGGGCCCCAGGACCATCGAAAGCCTGCTCAGGGCGAGGAACCTGCCCTAGGAAAGTGGTCCAGACCTCCGAGGGCCCACGCATCGAACAGAACTGGAACGACCAGATGTCTGTGAGCCTCCCCCTTCGCATCTCCATCTCCACTCCTCCCCCACCCCGGGACCTCCAACGTATCTCCCGTACTGTCGGACCGAGGTATAAGATCAAGGTCGGTTCGGGGAGGGTACCCTGGTGTTTTTCGTACCTGTTGGATGCTCTTGTGCATCCTGGGGGAGGGTGCCCTCGAGTGTTCTTCAGTTTGGCCAGCCGAGGGCCTCATGTCCTTGAAGGGCGTTCGTCTGTCCCAGGTCTGGCTGTACCCCTCACCCCTCCTCCCCCCGTCTCCCCCGCCCCCCCGCCCTGGTCTCTCCTGCGCCCCCTCGGCCGCCGCGGGCCGCCCATGGCGGTCGTCGCCCAGGGCTCCTTCGACACCTGGGGCGGCTCCCTCTGCTTCGAGCGCGACGCGCCGCGGGCGCCGGCCGCCGCGCCGGGCCACAGTGGCCTCGCCCCGCCGGAACCCCAGGCGGCCAGCTCCTCCTCCTCCTCCTCCTCCTCCTCTCCTCCTCCTCCTCCTCCCTCCTCCCCCTCCCCCTCCCCCTCCCCTCCCCCCTCCCTCCTCCTCCTCCTCCTCCTCCCTCCTCCTCCGCCTCCTCCTCCTCCTCCTCCTCCTCCTCCTCCTCGATCCTCCTTCTCCTTCGGCCGCCACAGTCGAGGACTATACGAAGGTTGTGGCTGCGCCGGGGCGTGGGGTTTGCGATCGGCGCCGCGGGGGCCCTCCTGGCGGGCGGCCTGGGGGGCCGTTTTCGGCTTCTCGGGGGGCCCTCGCCGGGCCCCGGGGCCGTCAGGAAGCGACTCGGGTTAAGTCGGGCCTGTCCCCTCTACAGGGGGATTTTGGACGAAAAATAAAAATACCTTACAAATAGTCAAAAAATAATTCAGAAATGGTCTGGGGAGTATTTTTGGAGTATTTTTGACCTTTTGGGGGTATTTTTGGGGTAATTTTATTTTTCGTCGGAAATCCCCCTGTATGGGGGACACGCCCGACATAAGACTCGGGACGAAAAACTGGTCCCAGCGAAGTGGTTCAGACCGCCGAACCCACACATCGACAAAGATCGGAGCAGCCGGATGTCCCGGAAGGGCGTGGTTATGCCGGGTGTGTGCTTTGCGATCGGCGCCACAGCCTGTCTTCGTCGGGCCTCCTCGTGGCGCGGCGACCAGCTCTATCGAGGTTCCCGTCCCCCCGGGTGCCCCCCCCAGGGTGCTGGCTGCCAGCCACACCCTTTGCAAGCCACACCTTTCGGAGTGGCGGGCGGGTCTTGCAGCCCGTTGGGCCCAGGCGTCCGACGTCTTGAGGGAGCGTCGCGCCGTTGTGGTCGTCGTCGTGGTCGTCCTCGCAGTTGGCAGGTTTGGCTGCCCCCCGAGTCCCGCCCCCTCCCTGAGATCTGGGCGTTGCGTTCTTGTTCACGGCGGGCGCGTCTTCGCAGCATGTGGGCGGTCGGAGCCCGTCTGGATGCATGCAGTGCCTGTGGGGGCCCTGACCAGCCCTGGACCGTCAGCAAAGGGCTCGGAATGCCAAGACAGTCCGGGGGAAGGGGGTCCCTTGGCATCGCTCGGACGAGTGCATTGTTCCTTCGGCGAGGACCATCGAGGAGCATCCTTGATCATTTGGCGAAAAAGCCACGCAGAAACCAACAAAAAACACAGGGAGTGGACGTCCGAGCGATGGCCAGGTCCAGACTTGCTGCGAGCGACCGAAGATATAATGTTTTTGTGTCTCCGCATCCCTGGAGCTCCCGACCCCTTTCTGCTTGGATGGCCCCGTGGGCACGCCAGGATTGGACGAAACTCGGAAGGGAAAGAGACACAGACACAAGTAATCGTCGACTCCCAGGAACATGTGGGAAACTATGGGAAGTGGGGGGGAAGACGCAAACCCAGAAAGTATGGGACAATGTGTGTAATCCTGTTGTTTGTGTGTATCTATTTGTGTGTCCCTGGGCCCCTTTCAAAAACACCTGACCAGAAGGCTGGGGAGATGCCCCGAGATTCGACGTTGCGAACAAACATGCGTCATCGCAAACCTCGTCTGGAGACCTGGAGCCCATCTTGCTGGGGCTTTTTTTTCGAGCTGGATCGATTCGTGAGGATCCCGGGGCCCGAAGCAAGGCAGAACCGGCGAATTCGTATCTTGTGTTATCTGCATTGTCGTTTCCTGCGTCCGTTTCCACAAACTTGGTGAGGAAGAAAACGGCTTTCAAGTGCAACCGGCATTCGCGTTACGACGGTGGTTCTTGCATCCTGCGGCCCGCTCCCATCTTCTCCCTCGAAAAGAAGAGTCGGCCGTTGCGAACAAATGCGACGCCAGGAGCTCAGCCCAGACATGCTGCGTCATGCGTTGTCCTGATACTGGCATCGCTCGGACGTGTGCATGCTTCCTTCGGCGAGGAGCATCCTTGATCATTTGGCGAAAAAAGCACGCACGAAACCGAACAACAACACGGGGAATGGACGTTCGAGCGATGGCGCGTGATGTTTTCGCTGCGCGGTCCCCCGACGTCCTGACTCTATCCTCAGGGCCGACTTTTCTCCTCCTGAGTATGGTTTTCCCGTCTCGTGGCCCGGCGAGGGCCCCTCTAAAGGCTGAGTTGGGGGCGCCCCCCCATTTCCGCCCTGCCGCCCCCCGCTTTCTCCTCCTCCTCCTCCTCCTCCTCCTACTCCTCCTCCCTCCTCCTCCTCCTCCTCCTC